TTTTTTTTTTTTTTTTTATGGTCTTAGCCTCCTCCCTGGTAAACTACATATCTCCAGCTCTCTTTTAGTGCTCAGAGCTGCTGCCTTTGCCTGAGCAATACTCAAAATTTAAAATGTCCTCTCCCACACTATGCCTAAAGAATCCTCCTGGTCATCTCTTCTGCTTTCTCCTCCCAACCCTTTCCCTGATGGTCAGTCTGGCTGAATTTGCCTGCTCCTTACAACATCCAGTTTAGAATCATCAAGAGTTGATTTGAGGGCCAGGGATTTAGCTCAGTGGTTCCACTGCCTGCTTCTCAAGTGCAAGGACCCTAAGTTCGATACCTGGCACCCCCCAAAAAAAAGTTGATTTGAGGGCTGTTAGGGGTTTAAATATGAAGTGTCCCTCAAAGACTCCTGTTGAGGGTTTAATCTCCACTGCAGTGGTGTTCAGGATTGGATCATGAAGGTGCTAACCTCATCAGTGGATAAATCCACTGATGCATCTGTACCTAAATGAACTATTAGGAAGTAGGGCCCAGTTGGAGGAAATAAGTTCTTAGGGATGAACCTTTGAAGGGTATATCTTGTCCTCATTCCCTTCCTCTTGGTCCTTCTCTCATACTGTCTTATGTTTTCTGGCTTCCAGGAGATGAGCAGCTTTCCTCTGCCGCATCCTCTTCTGCTAGGGTATATCTGCCTCACTGGAAGCCCTAAAAGTAATGGAGCAGCCAGCTGACTATGGACTGAAATCTCTGAAACCATGAGCCAAAATAATGTATTTTGGGTTTTGTTTTTTTTGGTACTGGGGATCAAACTCAGGACCTTGTGCTTTCAAGGCAGGCAGTGAATTGCTTTCTCATGTATTTTGTTACAGCCCCTGAATGCTGATTAACACTGGGCTCATGTGCCCAGGCTCTGAACTAATAAACCTTCCTATATCACAGGGGCTGAGAGGCATACACTGTATTCCTACAATAGGAAGATGCTGAGATGTCCCTCTTTTATGATAGTCCAGCAATTCATAAGGTATCACTGGTAGGTGCCCAAGTTTCCTTGAGACTCTGGATGTCTTGGAGGCCAAAACTGTTTTCATAGTGCCACTAAGTGTGGATTTCTAAAAATCACTAAATAAATATTTGTACCAATTACACAACAACAGCTTTGGGTGAAACTTGTGATAACTTTCTGGGAATCTGGCAACTTGGAGGGAAACTAACCAGTCATATTCTTCAGCACCATGCAAATACCAAAAATAAAAGCAAATTTCCCATAAGAATGTCCTTTGTGAACCAGTAACAGTTACTAGTTTTGTGAAAGTACATGTTTTTTAATATCATATGACAAAACAGGAAGTTTGTATAAAGCATTCCTGCATACTGAAGCATGATTGTTGTGTCCAGAAAAGGGACTTTAATGGAGATGTTGCCACCATTTTCACAGAATGCCATTTTTTACTCAAAAGGTCAGCTTACAACTCAGTTGTTGACACTTGGTATTTTAAAAGACATTTTCTTCAAAATGAATGAATTGAGCCTATCATGTTACGGAAAACAGCACTGACATTTTTTCCAAGGATAAAAATTTAAGCTTTCAAGCAAAATTTACTATATTAGAAAACTGATATTCACCACTGTGAGGTTGACAGCTCCCTAAAACTGCTGAGATCTGGTTAACAAGTGTGACTTTTTAAAAACTGTTGTATAATAGAATTCGCCAACATTTGGAATATCTACATAACTCAAGGAACGAATGTCTTCCAAATAAATGACCAATGCATGATGCACAAAACCATATATAGGTAAATGCTCCTTTCAAAATTGCAAGCTCTAGTGGGGCGTGGTGGCACACGCCTGTAATCCCAGCACTCGGGAGGCTGAGGCAGGAGGATTGCTGTGAGGTTGGGACCAGCCTGGGCTACATAGTGAGTTCCAGGGCAGTCTCAACTACACAGTGAAACCCTGTCTCAAAAAATCAAAACAAAACAAAAAAATAAAATTGCAAGCTCTTGGGGCCAGGGATTTAGCTCAGTGACACTGGGCCTGCCTTGCAAGTGCGAGGTCCTGCGTTTGATCCCTGGTACAAAAAAAAAAAAAAAAATTGCAAGCTCCACTAATAAATTTTGATATAATGCTATATGAAAAAAAAGTCCATTGATGTGGTTCAGATCCTACATTAACTATCCTTTAAGAAATAACTAGAGGACCAGGAAATTAGCTCAGTGGTTCTGGCACCTGCTTTGCAAGTGCAAGGTCCTGAGTTGGATCCCTGGCACATGAATAAATAAATAAATAGGGCTGGGATGTCGTTCAGTGGTGCTGTGCCTGCCTGGCAAGCACAAATTCCTGAGTTCAATTTCCGGTACTGAAAAACCAAAAAAAAAAAAAAAAACTTTGTCAGGCATAGTTGCACACAGCTGTGATTCCAGCTACCTGGGAGGCTGAGGATAGCAAATTCAAGGCCAGCCTGGGCAACTTAACAAGACCTTGTCATAAAATTTTTAAAAAGAAAGAAACTGACTTGTCAAGTTTCAAATATCCACAATATCTGAGTAAGTTATGAAGTCAACTCCTTCCTTTTCAACCTACATATGTGTGAAGTCCAATCTTTGTTAATCTGAAACAGACCATCACAATAACTGTAAAGCAAAAACAGGAGAATCCCACTGTCTTTTAGTGAATCAGGCATTAAAGTTTTGAATAAACATTTTAAAATGCCATTTTTTCACTGATCTACATAGATTATTAAATATGTTTTGTATTAATTTATAATGAACCTTACCTCTAAATAGTCTCTCCACTGACTGTACTGAGAAAGGGTCATTTCATTTTCCCCTTCATTTTAAAGACTAACAACAGGCTTTTGCTATTTTCCATTTCTTTAGCAGCAAGGAGCTCTTTCCTAAAAAAAACAACAAATTCTAGGCCAGGGATTTAGCCTAGTGGTTCTGCTGTCCACAAGTGCAAGGACCCAAGTTCGATTCTTGGTAAAGGACCCAAGTTTGATCCCCACTACTAAATAATTTAGCAGCTCTAATTTGTTTGCAGGATACTTTCCCCCCAAAGAAGCTACTTTTCTTGTATGTTGTACCATGTTTGCTTCAGTTTTATTTTTTTCCATTCTTCAGTTTTCTGATATACACAGTTTAAAGGAGAAATTTATTTTGGCTTGCAGTTTTGAGGCTATGTTCGGCCAGCTCCAGGACAGAAACATAGTGGCAGAAGGATATGGCAAAGGAAGGTTGCTAACCTCATGTCAAACCAGGAATCAGAGCTGGTTGGAAAGCATTGTTATCTTTTAATAAATTAAGAATATTTTAATAATTTTGTAGCTTGGGGCAGGGAATGTAGTGGTAGAGCACTTGCCTAGCATGTGCCAGGTTCAATCCCCAGTACCTCCAAAAAATTTTTTTCCTAGTTTAGTTTTGAATGCATTAAGCATGTCAGAAGTCTTGAGAATAAAAAGTTTGAGAACTGCTGAATTAAGCAAATGATAAAATGATTAAACATAAAAGTAAGGGAATATTTGAAATAGGAGTAGAAAAAGGAAACGAGTTTAAAATCTTTCCACTTACGTTGTCCAAATGATGTTTGGGATTACAGATGGATAAAAACTTTAAAAACTGTGTCAGTGGTAGGCAGGCATGGTGGTACATTCATGGAAGGCTGAGGCAGAAGAAACACAAGTTTGAGCCCAGGCTTGATGACTAAGCAAGACCCTGTCTCAAATAAAAAAGGGCTAGAGATGTAGTGAAGTGTGAAGGCTCTGGGTTCAGTCCCCAGCATGACCCAAACCCCACACACATGCCAAATAACTAAAATACTCATTCTAATTATAACAGAGATGTTGAATAAAATATCTTTGGGACTTGGGATA